GAGGACCATTTTGGCCATCTCCTAAGAAACCCTGCTTGAGACTTCAGGGAAACATGTCACCCCTTGTTCTCTACTCTCAGGCTTTAGATGCAATCCTCAGACACAGATGAAGTCCTGCTTCATATCCAGTTACACCTGTCAACCTCATCCCCTGATCTAGCTTAATGTCAAGAATTTGAAGATGCAGAATGTTCAGGAATGTCTAGGAGATAAGATATGTCTTAAAACTCTGCTTCTCACACTGAAGGGTATAGATAGACAGACACTAAAAGTTATATGCCAATCCTAAACATCAATTTTTTATGTTAAAACATAAGCACACCGTGGAATAATACTCAGGCATTAAAAAAAAAAAGAACCTTGCCATTGTGACATGAATGGACCTTGAAAAGGATATAATGCTAAGTCAAAAAGAGAAAGACAAATATTATGATTTCATCCATATCTTGACTCTGAAACAAATGAACAAACAAAACAAAACAAAAACAAACTCAGAGATTCAGAGAAAAGATCGGTGGTTACCAGAGGAGAAAGGGGCTGAGGGATGAGCAAAAGGGTGAAGGGAGTTCAATTGTGATGAAGAGTAATGATGATGGATACTAACTAGACTTTTGGGTAATCACTTTGCAGTATCGATACTGGATTATAATGTTGTATACTAACTACTTATACAACAAACACATACACACACATAGATATGGGATAAAATACAAAATTTTGAGGGGAGAAAAACAAGACCTTTTAAACAAATTATTGCACTATCAGCTACTTCACCTATAGACTCTAGGGGTGGTATATAAATAAGTTTGAGAACTTTCTGAGGAAACTTTTATTGGGTAGTTGGATCCTACAAAAATTGGGGTATCTTTCTGGAAGTTCTCAATGCTGTTGAGGCAAATGGAGGAACACTGAAGAGAAATTAGGTCACCCTGACTACTCCACAGACCATCTAAGAGAACCTTCATAAGCCTCCCCTTCAATATGAGGAATGAGAAATGGAAAACTAAGACGGGTGAATTCAGGAGACTGGTTACTCTGAAAAAAGCCATCCTGGATCTCCAGATCAAAGGCCAAATGCCAGAGGTTTTGTTTGCCTGTGGCTTTTATGTGTTTGTTCTTTTGAAGATTACCTGATCTACATGTGCTATTTCTGTCTCTTCTCAGGCTGAGCTGCCTGTAGCCTCCAGGAAAAAAACCCTGGAAACAAAAGCACCAAGTGTATGGAAGGAGCAAGGAAGAGGAGAGCTATGAAAGGTGGCCAGCCTCAGAGGACCCAGTGGATGGAATTACATTTGAAGATAAAAGGGAATTGGCCAGAATTATAGGCTGGAGGCCAGGGCCTGAAGAGAAACCTCAGGAAACCAACAGTAGGAAGACCTTATGATTCCCCAGCACAAAACGAAATGAAGCAGTCTCCAAACAATGATTCAAGACCTCTATTGAAAAATATCACTGCACCGGTAGAGAACATGTCATCTCATTAATTTAACTTGAGGTTTCCCCAAGAGCTCATAATTTTAGCATATACCTGTTTTTCCGTTCAGCGCTGTTCAGAAACATGGACCAAGTTGCATCTGTCATTTCAACACAGTGCCTACCTTTCTTAAGAATCTTCTTCACTTTCACATAGTTTCCTTGTTTGACATACTCATGAAGCTGAGCTTCCAAAGAGTCATCTCTTAAGGAACCAAGCTGAACGGGACAGGGGATTGGAAGATGAACAGCTCTAGACATCCTGTTTCAAAAAGAAAGCAACATGCTTATTTTATTCTTTCATATTTTTTATTTTAAAAAGTTTTACATACATTTCTTTCACACATTTCATACATTTCTTTCATACATTTCTGTCCATTTTCATTTATCATGAACAGAATTAGAGGAATAACTACTGAAATTCTACAAAATTAACATTTATTCTCAATGTTACTATTGATATTGAAGAACTGAATATATTTACTACCAATTCCCAAGATTAAAATAGTGATGACTACTAGGAAAATTAGAAATTAACATCTTTGCTGTATCATTAAGATAACTAGGAGAATATTAACTCTGAAAGGTTAGTATGCAAATGAAGTCAGTCATTATGTTAGAATGCAGACATTATAATGTGTGTTGGGTTCGCAGTTTAGTCTCTGAAGCTCTGTCACCCCATAAATATGTGACTTTGGAAAAATTATTTAACCCTGATAGACTTCAATTTCTTCCTCTGTAAATGGAGATAATAGTAAGAGGGTTGCTGAGAGGTTTAAATGAGCTGTCATCTGTAAAAAGCTTAGAGCTGTGCCTGGCACCAAGTGAGCTCTCCATGTTAACTGCTACTGTAGTACATGACATGAACCATGCTCAGAATTTTTAACTTTCTATTTCTAAAAATATTTTATTTATTTTTAGAGAGAGGGGAAGGGAGGGAGAAAAAAGAGAGAGAAACATCAATGTGTGAGAGAAACATTCATCGCATGTCCCCAGCAAGGAAATGGCGTGCAACCCAGGCATGGGCCCTGGCTGGGAATCGAAATGGCAGCCTCCTGGTTTGCAAGCCAGTGCTCAACCACTAAGCCAGATCAGCCAGGGTGAAATTTTAACTCTCTACACATGGCATCCACACCTGACCATAATACAATCATATGTTTATGCAACACCTACCATGTGTCTCAAATGTGACAGATGCTATATATGTAAGACACCTAAAAGTGGGTTGCTGCCACCACAATGCTCAGTCTAGCCGGGCAGACAAGAGGCACCAAGTTGGAGCTCCATAAACAGTAGATAAGAGAAGAAGTCACATCCACATGAATCAACAAGCATGTACATGAAGGGCATAAGTAAGTACTACATAGAGAGACACAGAGGGTGTGACATAAGGTGAAGTCAAAGAAAAAGCAATGAAGGCTGACATAGTCAGTAGGTCTTCACTAGCCAGGAGGCTTTTAGGTTACTAAAAAGTAATACCTCCTTAATTTATCCACTGACAAAAGGTGGAAAATGCTAATAACTTAAGTGTTTTAAATTTATTTCCTTTGGTATTTGTTAATATCCACATAAGTGACTAAAAGCAGCATCCTAGTAATCCAGTAATACCAGAACATTCTTAAGCAAACAAAAGTAACTAAGAAAGCACTGCTTAATTTAAATATGAACTGAAGCTTTTACAGCAAGCTATCATGTCCTATCCACATTTCTGCCTCCCTCTATAACCAGGTATAAAAGAGTGGCATATTTCTATGATTTGGATGTCTAATGGGGACTGAATTTTACCCCTCCCCCCCGTTCATATATTGAAACTCTGACCTCAGAATGTGACTGTATTTAGAAATAAGGTCTTTAAAGAGGTGATTAAGTTAAAATAAAGTTGTTAGAATGGGGTGATAATTCACTGTGACTGGTGGCCTTATAGGAAGAGGAGGAGACCTTAGCTTCAGGGGTGACTGCAAAGGAACCACCATGTAAAAAAGGCAGTAAGAGAGAGGCCCCAGAAGAACCCTGCCCTACTGGCACCTCGATATTGAACTGTAAGAAAATGAATTTCTGTAGTTTCAACCACCCATTCTGTACTATTTTGATATGAGAGCTCTAGCAAAATAACACACTAAAAATAGCAAGTTATGTCATGTGTCTTCATGAAAGGAGAGTCAGTCTATAGTAACTATCTCCACTTCATCCATTTAGCTGGATTGCGCCTGCACTGAGGGCCTGTTAATGTTGTGTTCTTCACCATACTCCTGACATTGGGCTACTGACAAAGTCCCCAATATCTTCTTACAACTGGACAAATCCAATGTGCATTTTCAGGCTCTCTCATACTGAAATGTTCATCTGTATGTGACAATGCTGCTCAATCTTTTAAAGTTTTCATTTATTTATTTTTAGAGAGACGGGACAGGTCGAAGAGAGGAAGAGAAACATCAATGTGTGGTTGCCTCTCACATGCCCCCTATTGGGGACCTGGCCCACAACCCAGGCATGTGCCTTGACTAGGAATCAAACTGGAAACCCTTTGGTTTGCAGGCTGGCACTCAATCCATTGAGGCAAACCAGCCAGGGTCCACTTTAAACATTTTTAAGTGTTCAATTCAGTGTCATTTGAGTATATGTAAACATCATTGTGCAACCATCTATCTCCAGAACTGTTTTCATATTCCCAAACTGGGACTCTATACCCATTAAACACCAACTCCTCATTTTCTCCTCCCCTCAGCCTCTGGCAACCACCATTCTACTTTTTGTCTATATAATTTTGACTATTCCTGGTATCTCATATAAGTGGAAATATACAGTATTAGTCCTCTTGTGACTGGCTTTGTTTCACTATGTGCTCAAGGTTCATTCATGTTGTATCATACACCATAATTTGCCTTTTAATGCATAGTAATATTCCATTAAGTGTATGTATGGATACACATACACACCTCGTTTTGTTTATCATGCTTCCTCCACTGCTGGACAGTTTGGGTTGATTCTACCTTTGGCTATCATAAATAATGCTGCTACAAACAGGAATATACAAATAACTCTTCAAATGAGTTTTCATTTATTCTGTGTATATATCCAGAACTAGGACTGCTAGATTATAGGGAAACTCCATGTTTCACTGAAATACCATATTGTTTTATATAGTGGTTGCAACATTTCTGTATTCCCACCAGCAGGATACAGAAATTCCAATTCTTCCAAATCTTCACAAATGCCTTACAGTTTTCACTGGAAGTTTTAGCTGCAAAATCATTTCAGTACTTTACAGTAGTATGGGGGGAAAAATACTTTTTTCCTTTTTTAAGACCTTATTTACTTACTTTTAAAAAGGAAGAAAAAATAGGGAAGGAAATTTCAGTGTGTAGTTACCTACCACTCATTTTCTACTGAAAATCTGGCCTGCAACTCAGGCAGGTATACATCTTAAGTAGAAATCATGCTGGCCATCCTTTGGTGTACATGATACTCTTCAGTACACTAAACCACATCAGCAAAATAAAATCAATACTGCTTTTAAACTGAGTTGTCAGGGGAGAGCACAAACACAGCCCCCACCACCACAAATAATGCAATCAAGTTTCCCCACATTTGGGGAAATCACAGGGGTCAGCACACCCAAAGTGTAATGGGTGAGGCTCACTCTAGAAAAACCACCTTCATAACACTGGCATCTCCCCTACTAGGTAAGCATGAGTAGCCTCCTTTTTCCAGTCATCACAAGAGTCCTCAACACACTTTTAAATCATGGTCAATTATACTATGAGTTCTGCAGGTCTTTGGTTGGAAACTGCAGTATCATTTATAGGACAGAAACTAAAGTAGTTCTTTTGGGTGCCCAGAGGAAATTTTGCCCATGAATACATTCAAACCAGCAGTCACCATACTACTCATCTACATAACCCCGCCTCTTGTTACTCTGTATCACTAACACTTGAAGTGGATAAATTCACTGTTGCTATACCTAGGGACAATCTAGAAGACAATCCTCAACCGGTAGCTGGGGATAGTTTTTAACTCTTTGCCTTCTAGGCACAGGTTCTTACATGGATCTGTTTTTGATGAGTCTGAATTCCGAGCTGCAGAGCAGGGCAGTTTGAGAGGCAGAGGCCCACAGCCCCACCCGAAGGCAAAGCATCACTGCAGTTGTGCCAGGGCTGAGTTTGCAGCTCCTTTGAGCCTAGGTTCTAACCTCAGTCTCTGTCCCCATTTCCCCAAATTGTAAGGTAGGAGTAAAATGCTTGCCTACCTAACAAGGTTTCTGTGAGGACTAAGAGAATGCGTGTAACATACAGCCTCAAGCCCCTCGAACCCTACCTGGGCCATTCCACTCCTGGACAGGTGCCCTGTTGGCATGAAGGAAAAGAGCACTTGGCCTGGCTTTGGTAACAAATTGAGTGCCTCTCTCTTTTTAGACAATGAAAACAGATGACACGTGTTTTCTTTTCTGTGCTTTTGGCTAGGCACTCTGGGCAAGACAATTCTGCAGCAACTATAGTACCAAAGGCTTTGCTGTTGTGTGTAGAGGCAAACCTATCTCTCCTTTTCAGAGTCTCTGGCTAAGCTTAAGTATAAAATTGGCAGATATAGTTTAACAGCATAAAAGTATTCACACTTATTTAATAAGTTTACCTGACACAGGTGCCCCCATAAGAAAATGGAGACCCAAAGAAGTGACAAAACCTAAATGCTTTTTATATGAGGTTGAACAAAGAAGCAACTGTGAAAAAATAACTAACATGTATGGGAAGGTTAAAGGTACATCAGAATTGTTTTAACAAGGTCTGTTTGTACAAAATTTTCTGGCTTTGACTCACCTTCTTTGGAAATGTTTCTTTTCCCCTGGTATAGAGAAGGTATCTCTTACATGGGAGCTTTATCTTCTGCTCTCAAAGAAAACAAAGGGCAGAGTGCTTATATATCTACTGTTCCTTCACATAACTAGGCTGCTACTTCAGTAACTAAATTGGGCAGCAGAGACCTGTTCTATTCTAGCAGACATGCTTCATAACTGTATGTTAACCTCCTAATTGACTAGTAACAGCCTCGTTCCCCTCACTGTACTAAAATAAAACAAACCCCAAAATAAACCTCACATTCACAACAGCATTATTAACAGAGCCTGTGGGAAAAAAATACCTTCATACCTCCTGCAGCTACTATAGAAAACTTAAAGGTCTGTTCTTAATCACATAAAGCCAGGGGAGAGCGCGAACGCAGTCCCCCACTACCACAAATTATGCAGTCGAGTTTCCCACATTTGGGGAAATCGCAGGGGTCAGCACACCCGGAGTGCAATGGGTGAGCCTCGCCCTGGGAAAACCACCTTCGTGATCATGGTATCTCCCCTGCCAGGTAAGTATGAGTTGTTTCTGACCCAGGCAGGGTCCACTGCTGGGCACATCACTGTAAGGTTCGGGTGACACCAGAAACAACTATAATTAGCCTTTATCTATATATAATAAACAAAAAAAATCAGATTTTCTGCTATATCTTAGTACTGGTAACAGCGGAATACGATGCATAATTTCCCAGAAAACGCGGTTCCAAAGGGCCCTACATTTGTAATTTACATACTCCACCTCCCGGCGTTACGTCACGTGCAGCCCAGTGGGTCAAAGCCAGCAGCTGCTCACCTTCTTCCTGGTGTAGGAAGATCGTTTTCTCCTCCCACTTGCCCCGACGCAAGTAACGTCAGCCCAGATACTTTCCTGACATAAATTGCCTGCCCTCCTGCCCCAACTTTCACTGTACCCAAAGATCCTCCGATCTCCCTGTGTGGAGTCTTCCTTGAGTAAAAGGATACGAAGCTGTTTTAGCTGCAAGCCTGACTCAGTCCGTAGAGATCAATGGTCCACGCCAGCCCTGCCATTTTCTCCTGAGAGGGGAGGAGCAGGGCTTCGAATGGAGCATGCCTGCCAGCCGGGTGTAATTGCAGAGTGAGAGTTTTAGAATCCAAGATCTGGACAGCAAGTCAGGGTTCACTGCATGACTCTAGACAAGCCTCTAGATCTATCTACTCTGGCAGTTCCTGTGGAATGTACAGGAACTACCCAGTCTGACCTCTCATCCAGCCAAGTCTTTGTCTCCTGCCCAAGGTCTGTTAAAATCTAGTCCCCAGGCTTCTGCGATGAACAGATGTCCTCCAGAGGATACACAGGGTCCATCTGCAGGGATTGGATGGATTTTTTTCCTTCTGGTCTGTGAGTTTTTGTTTGTTTATTTTTAAAAGTTCTCACATTCATTACTGAACCAGCCTACAGGTTCAGAAAAAAAATTAACAAAGATAAAAATCATTCTGCCAATAATTTCCCAATAAAACACTCCCAACTGTCCAGATAATCATGATCTTTTCAGTGATATGGTAAGATGCAAGCAACCTGGATACAGCGTAAGTCTGTTAGCCATCTCATGTGCAATTTCTTATAGACCCAGCTTGGTTCTTCTCCATTGTCTCCTCTCACAGTTTTCCTCCAAATCCATTGGGTAATGGGCCAATTCTGTTTTCGTTTCTTGAACAGGAATGTCTTGATCCTGAAAGTCTTGTGAGAAGATGTGTAAGAAGAGCCAAAAGCACGTACCATGATGACCGCGAGGCTGTGAGTTTTTCTGCTAGATAAATATATTTGAAAAACCTGTTTTGGTGCTGTTTTATTTTCCCAGCATTTTGTGTTTTGAACCAGGTAAATCTCTTGGCCTCCAGTCTACTTACTGCAGGAGGGGAGTATGAACTCTGGGTTCGTTTGATTCTTCAGACTCTAGATGCCATTTTACTCACCGCTCAACCACCTCATCTTGCTCCCTTTACACAGAAGCATAGCACCTTTCCTCAGTCCATCTGGTTCGAGATCCAACAATTATCTCCTCCTCTACTCCCATTTTCTTGGCTCTGGGGGAGGAAGCTGTAACCCTATTACTCCAAATTCATGTTCTTGCACCCACATCTTCACTGATACTTGGCTTTCCTTTTATACATATCTTTTAAATTCCCTCTCCCCTGCTGTTTCAAACCTCCACCTAAACCAGTGGTTCTCAGTGACTCTGCCACCACTTAAAGGTGTACTTTTGAAAATTTGTGGGAACTTTTGTTTCCTTTGTAGTAATGCTGAGTATTTACATATTGAGAGACTTTATTATAACATTTTACTTGTTTTTAATCCTCACCCAAGGACATTTTTTCATTGCTTTTAGAGAGAGAAGGAGGGGGAGGGAAGGAGAAAGGCAGGGGAGAGAAGTATCAATGTGAGAAACATTTACCAGCTGCCTTCTTGTTTATGGCCCAACCGGGGATCAAACCTGCAACCTGGGCACATGCCCTGACCAGGAATTGAACCCACAACCTTTCAGTCTACAGGATGACCCTGCAACCAACTGAGCCACACCAGTCAGGGCATAATATTTATACTTTTGATTTCTCCATCATGTTCATTTAGAACATTATATCATTTATGGGGGAAGTATATACAGCTTAAATTTTCTATGAACATCTTCAGGATAGTAAAGGGAACATTACTATTTCTTACAAAAGAAGACTGGGTTAACAAAATTGAGAACCTCCCTAATCCAATCACACCCATATATCTGAGGCAGGAAATAATCAGGAGGGAGGAAACTCTGGAGGAGCCCCAAGGCTAAGATAAAGGACTTTGATACAGGACACAGACCCTGTTCTAAGATCAGTTATTCCTGCTTTCTAGAAAAGCGCTGAATCATGGTGAATCGTAAATGCACCTGCTCAGAAGATGTTACAGGACCCCTGCTTCATTATAATAGCATTTTAATAAATTAACATTGTGGGTGCCCCTTCCCAGTGGCCGATCAAGGAAAATCATGGGAGACCACATGTGCAGTAGCTTTAAAGTAATACAACTACTAGTATGTGAACAATAAACGCCCACCAAAACTAGCCAGGAAAGATCTGCCCTGTAAGAATAGAATCCCTCCAGCCCCTGAGGTCAATCTCTGCTCAGAGTTGGCTTGCTCCCATGTTCTCTGGAGTGTAATATCGCTTAATAAATCTGCTCTCTCTCTCTCTGTTGTAAATTCTGTGTGTTCAGTTCAATTCTTTGTCTTCAATCACCAAAAACTTGGTTACCTGTGCCAACCTGTGATATATGAGTAAGAATATTTAGCTTTTTTTTTTTTTTTTCAAAAGTACAGTGAACTCTATCCTAACAGTGTTTCTCAAAGTACAAGCCATCACTATCTGCATCAACATCACCCACTGAATCAGAATGTCTGGGGATAAGGCCTGGGTGTGTGCTTTTAGCATGCCCTCCAGGTAATTCTTTCCCCTTGCCCCCCATTGATAGCCTACTGAGAGTTTATTATAAATTTGTTTCAGGCCACAAGGAAATAAAAGGACTATGTACAGTCAAGAAACAGGCAGGGAGCTGGGGGAGGGCCAAGGTGAGTCTAGGGCCTTAGTGGGTACATTCTTGGGGGAGGGGCCCTGTAAGGCAAACCAGACGATCCAGAATAAGAAACAAACAGGTCTGTGGTAACTTGTCTGGGGGGAGCCTTGTCCTCTGCCTCTGTGCAGCTACTGTTTTCAAGTAACATATTCTTCTCTTCTGTTTTTTAGCGACAAGGGAAGGAAGGGAGAAAGAGAGGGAAAGAAACACTGAGGTGTGAGAGATGCATTGATCCGTTGTCTCTTGCATGCCCTCAACTGGGGACCTGGCCTGAAACCCA